CAATAGCTTGTGCGCGCGCACACAAAACACTTGGGAATGTGCAGAACAAGACATGGCCTCACATGCTATGAATCATATGGAACAACTGACCAGCACTCACAAGCAGTTATTACAGTCATCTTTATTTGCCCATAACCTGAAATACATTGTTACAAACCTTAAATACTGTATGTAAATTCCATTTCAATAAGACAGTCAAAAATAATGAACCGTAAAACAGACAAATGTGTCTCCCCAATATATTTGGCAATATATGACTTTTAGATACATATGGACAAATGTGTCTCCCCAATATATTTGGTAATATATGACTTTTAGATACATATAAAGTGTATTGTGTTGTGTTGTTTTTTATACTTTGATTCCTTCTGTCAGTTATGTTTAAAATGCAGCTTTTAAAATTATCTTCAAAGTTGGAAGGTATTTAGAAAATTCTCTGTTCAATAATAAAGTGATGAATAAAGTGTTTTAGTATATTTAAGTCAGTATAATCAACAGATTCAATCTAGACACTCTTCTTAAAAAGTTACTCTTCAAAATTAAACTCTTCAAATAAGTCCATAAAGGAAAACGTTAAGTCTAAAGCAGATTTTTGGACTTGTACTGTTTGTTTGCTTAACTTCTCCTATTTCTGTTTGACACACTGTAGTTTATTCAACACAATATACAACAATATTAAACTGTATCAAAACTAACTTCTCTTTCTATCTAGAAAAGCATTCTGTAAATAAATAGCATCACTATTGTTTGTTTTTCCAAAACAAACATTATTCCTTCATATAAAGGTGTTATGTATGTAATGAGAAATTAAATATCCTCACTAAATGTAATGCTAAATCATCAGCATCTGTAAAAAGGTAACTGCCAGTTCATTAGATTAATTTGTTAGTTAAATATTTAAAGCACTGATCCCTGTGAGGGTTACAAGAAGTTGGGTTGAGGAATGTGCAGATTCTTAGTGTTTACATGCATAGAAAGCACTTTCTCCTATTTGCTGGCTGAAATCATCATTAACCATGTGTTGAATTAAAGCCTGTTTAACTGAGGCACGGTAAAACTGTACAATGTGTTGGTGCTGCAGCTTCATGACTGTGAAGCAACACATTTCTTGTCGTGTCTGACAGCTAAAAAGGCAACAGTCATAAAGACAGGTGAAAAGAGCATGAACTTTACAAGAGCGTTCCGTGCAGGTTTTGGACACAGTGTGAAGACTAGGTTTGACCCATTCATACAGTTAGTTACACGTAGTGGTTTGTTACTGGTGTGTTTAAGACAGTAAAACTAATTCAGTTAAGATTAAAGTTAATAATTATTCCATTTATACCAGCTTAGGCAACTACAACAACAAACTTTACTCTAGAAAATCTTATTGTTGGTCAGCTGTCAGAGATTTTTCAATGCCATTTACATCCCCCTACCCCCTTTAACAGCTTGGTGTATCATTGTACAAAGCTGACTCACATCGGTATTGAGTTTTTAAATTACTTTTGCATAAGTGTCAAAAAGTGTTGATTTAACAAGCATTTAATCTCAAGATAAGTCAAACTCAAGCATTCCTGTGTTGTTATTTTATCGAGTTCTCTGCTGATTTTCCAGGTATTACATGTAGTGATAAAGGATTTCAGCCACATCACCAGCTCCTAGTGGGAAGCATGTTATTCCCCTTTTACCCACAGCAGTCTTCATGAGGGGTGAATAATAGGAACACAATTAATTTATCAATCAATTCCACCTCAGGGTGAAGTAAAATTACCCCTGCAAGGATGCAGTTTTGAAAGTTGCCAACTGGAGATGGGCATGTTGACAAACCTGTAGCATACAGTAATAACAAACCTCCGTTGATCAACTAAAGATCAACGTCCTTAATGCTCCATTTAAACTACTGTACAATGTCAAGCTTTTATAAAAGGTAGTGCTGCCTCACACTGAATAGTGTAAAGCTGATTACCTTCATTGTTTTCAGCCTGTTCAGCTTTCCCATGACCAGAATTCATCTGATGTGTGACACCTCATGAGCAGGCAGCAAGCTGTGAGGGACATTTTTAGAATGCCATAACCTTTCATTAAGGTCGCTGAACATCAGTCATCTCTGACACAGTTGCCTTGAAGTCACGTGCATGAGCTTCAACACCCTGGTTTCAAAGTCCGTTTTACACCTTCTTGTGCTTCCTGTCATGTTCAGGAGAGGTCAGTTCCATTGCAGACTTGTCTAGACTCAGATGATACAGCACTCTTTTTGAGATGAACCTGATTAGTAGGAAAGACAGAGGACTGTTTGCTTTGCACTGTCTTTTGCTCCTTCCTATCTAGTTTTGCATTCTATGCAAAAACACAAATAATTCACATAAAACTATAGGAGCTACTCAAGTTTGGAACAGTATTACTGACCTGGAGAAGGAATTGTCAAAGATGAGTGTGTATTCTCCAGGGTTTCTGACTTTCAGTTGCCCCTCAACTGTCTCTTTGTGGGCGTTGCAGCGAGTCAGTGGGATTAAAACCTGCAGAGAGCAACGGACACAAAGCCTGGTAGAGTAATAGTTCTGCTTAGGCACAGATCAGAAAGGGTGAGAGAATGATATGACGTTGTCAGGATGAGAGTCAATAGCATTTTATCAAATCTGATTTCAGTTTTGAATCATTACTGAATCAGGCAGCTTATCTGGTGGAGAATAAAGGACATCTTAGTTAAGAAAATATGTACTTTTTAAAAAAATTCACTCAGTATCAAACCTACACCAGAGCAATTCTACTGTGCTGAAAGGGTTGTAGGGTTTTCAGAATATGGTGTAACACTAGTCGAATCCAGCAGTTATGGAGCAACATGATCATTCATTTGCAGCCCATCTGATAAATTCAAGTCCAATATTTGCTCTCTTTTAGCTCTGTTAATCTGTTAGCTCCAACTGTGCCATCATTTTTAGTCACTAAATATTCTGTCCACCGTTTGCTGCTGAGCAGTTAGTGTACAGTGGGTTTTATGAAAACGTGCATGTAGCCAAGGACGACACTATAAGAGCAGTGAGGGTGAATCAAAATAGTGAAGTTGTTGGCTAGCTAATTAATGAGGTGAAACCCTTATAATGCCTTGTAAAACCAAGGGAAGCTGCAGACTCAGCTAAAATTGGAGCAGTACTTGGAAGCTTTCCCTGAGAGAAGGTGTTGTTTTCACATGGTATTACATGCACATGCTGGTGTCTCACCTTGGCCTGCTCCAGCGGCATCTCTGTGCTCTCTCTGTAGACCACACTGAAGGCAATGCTCTTTGGCTCGGATGTAAACCTCCAGGTGACGGTGGGACCAGGACTACTGATGGTGATGGGGATGGTGCTGTAACAGCTGGACTTGATGAAGAGCTCTCGGAAACTGTCCCCAAATCCTGAGATGTCATCCACTGTGCAGGGGACAGAAAGCCTATAGCACAGGGTAAAAAGCAGGCCACAAGAAAGTTCACAGTGTTGTAGGGCTGCAACTGGCAATGGTTTTCATTGTAGATTAAACTGTAAAGTCAGTTTCTCAGAAATCAGGCTGCTATGTTCAAAGTGCTTGGTTCAAAACCCAAAGCGATTCAGTTAACTATGATGGAGGTCTACGAAAATCAACAAATATTCACATTTTCAATGAAAAAAAATGGAATGAACAATTAGTCATAAATATAGTTGGAAATTATTTTTCTGTCAAACTACTAATCAATTATTCAACAACGTATAGAAGATTTGGGGTGGTGGCAAAGAAAGAAACATTTCTCAAAAGATGCTGGCGTTATAACGTATATTGAAGGAATCAAGCTGCTACATGTCGATGCAATTTTCAATTACAATGAAAAGATTAGTCTTATGTAAGGGGCTAATCTATTAGTCAAGCACCTCATTATCTGATTGTATTACCAAATGATTAGGTTATTTTCCAAGTAGAAATGCCAACCATCTGCCTGAATCTGCTTCAAGTCTTACATTAAACTAGTAAATATTTTAGGTTTTGCACTAGTGGTCAGTCAAATTAATACATTTGAAATCGTCACCTTGGGTTGAATGTATGTAACTGTCAGCTGCAGCCTTATTTCCTTCAGTGAAAAAGGGGAAAGCCTGACTGTACCACTACCATCTTATTAAGAGAACTCCAATGATTTAGCATTGAACTCCTGTAACATTGCTGGACTCACAATGCACAGAGAACTTCAGCCTCTTACATTCTTCTTTCTTGTCAAAATCTGGCATGTACATCACCCACAATGCAACTACCAACAGACAGACATTCAGGTGTGTTAAGCTTTTAGTGACTAATCTAGCTTCACGCCTCCTGCCTCAGTAGAAAGCTCACTACTTTCTAACTCCGCATCCCTGGAGTTTGTACATTTTCAGTCTTGTAGTCTCCACATCTAATAGTCACTGATCCTAGAGACATCACTTGAGACAGTTTATCAGATTTCACACAGCCACAAAAGGCTTTATATAACTTTTATTCACATATGCAGTGGTGTTCCCCAAGAACCTGCTGTCATCTACTATAGGAGCAGAGGTTTCACAACATGTACCAAGTAACATTTAGGGAAACTGTCCATGTAATGCATAGTTTCATGTTTCACTTCCCATTTGTGGATTTATCATAAAGGTTACTCCAGAATAAGTCTGACCATGTGACTGCATCCATGTGTAAACACAAAACTGCTGCCTTCTGTTTTTTTGGTGTAATTTTCACTGCAACTGAAACTCACGTGAGTTCTCCAGACTTCAGCAGGCAAATCTCTGCATCCTGCACTGTTGCACTGAGGTTCTCAGTATCCTCTGATGTGCTTCCTCCTATGCTGGCATTGCTGTTTCCAGGGAAAGTGACAGATATTTTACAATTATACATGATTTACTGTATATCAATATGTAGAGAACTGTCACACATTTAAGATCATGGTTTTTTTTTTCACTGCAGCAAAAAATATAGTTTTCTTACAGTGATGGCCTCCAGAATTAAACTGGAATCAGCTTGCTAAAGACTGTTTTAGGCTGAAGTTGGCATTTTGTGAGGAGGTGTTTGTTAAATCATATCTTCTGTGGTTGTCTGTCATGTCATGATTTACAGTCTGTATCCCTGACTCTGTGTACTACAGCCCTCAGTTCCTCTGCCAGGGAATGCACAGCACCTACTGTAGATGCTTACAGTTGTGCTGCCCTCTGCTGGCCGTGTCCAGGAGAGCAGGCACTGGCAAAAGAGATGGAGTCACTGTGGTGGACCCCCCTCACTTCGTCCTCTGTGACGATGTCAAAAACACCATCATCACGTTTGTCACCTTCATCTGGTCCTAGAGGATAAACAATATCTTCATGTTTATTACCATATTTACCATGTACACCTAGTGTACTGTAGGGCTGCCCCCTGAGAGAGGAAAACATTTCAAGGAGGAATTATAATAAGGGGAATCATTCGCAGTGCAAGCTGGCACGCATCAAACGCTCAGCAACAACATGCGCTGTGGTTACCTGATGGGAGAAACTTAAACCTGTTGGTAAATTAGGCTATAACCATATTTTAGAAGAAATATTTGCCTATAAGAGCACTGGGTCTCATTCACCAACCATTCTTAAAAACAATTTGATGTTGTAACTGGTTGTTTAGTTTTCCTCTGTTCAACAGTTATATATTATTATAAGATTTAAGTTACAGTAACAGTTTTGTCATTATAAGTATTTCTTTAATATTTGTTCCCAATATTTTACAAAGCATTATGCCTTTTAAAACGAATAAACATTATACCAAAAATTACAGAAAGCAATTAACTGTTTTTAAGGTTTTAAAATTAATTCAATGTTTAGTGTGACTGTTGGTAGATTAGAATTGGGAAATACATTACTTAAAAACCAAACATATTTAAGTGCACATCTTAATTTCTAATTTCTGTTCATTTCTTTAAGCGTCTATTGGACATTTTGGTCAGCACCACATCTGACATCAGACTCAGGGCAGTTAAAGGGACCTGGGTGCACACATGGGGGTCCACTCAGCTGATGGCACACCCTGATGCAGCCTGTCCTCCTCCACTGGTCAGCGTCTCTCTTCTCTGTTTGTTTTGCTACCTTAGATTTGATGTCAAACCGTCTTTTTATTTCATTAATTGTGAGAAAAAGACTGAATAGTTGAACAATTGCACTGAAGAGCCAAATGACAGTCGACTGACAAAATCTTTAGTCGGGTACAGCCCTACTGTATTGTATATGTCATGATCAACACACCAGTGTGTTCTAAAGCAAACATGCAAATACTAATAATACCTGTTTGATCCTGTGTGCGTCTATGTTTCAGTGTGCACTGTTACCTGAGACACTGGTCATAGTTCTTCCTGTCTGGAGCAAACGTTTAAAAGGTGAACCCAGTGTGCTGTTTGTCACTTCCTCCTGTGGGTGGCGCTCCACTACTGCACTGTGCTTGTTGTAGCAGTCCCTGCAGCAGCTCTCTCTGTTGCCGCCCTGCTGGGTGCTCACTGTGTTACTGCAGCAGTAGTAGCAGAAGGGACGCCCACACAGCCTGGGAAAACAGTGGATATAATATGACTGAGATGGATAGACTGAGTAAAATGGCTCATTATTTTGAAATGGTTATTATTGTGTATAGAGGGCTGATCACTATATTCTCTAAGTCAGCAAAACGTCTTTATAGAGCATGTTTCAAATCAGTTCCTACAAAAACCTCTTCTCATGTGTAAAGACAGAATAAAAAAACCCATAATGACACATGAAAGTTTTTTACAGAGAAAATCTTAACAGTTGTACTGGTTTGACCTCTGAGAAGAGGTCTAAGCAGTAAAAGTACAGGCAACTTTAATGTTTATTGGAAGAAAGGCTGAAACTGTTGTCATGTGGGTTGAAACACTGATATTCTGATGCTCAGTCATTCTTCAGCTTTACAGCTGCTTTTAACTTTAACCTACAATTTTTCATCAATTATTGAATAAAAATTGTTTCTCAAACTATGTGAAACTCTCAAATGCGCGGCTCATTTTCTCACTGTAGTGTTTGCATTTACATATTTTTGCAATGACCTTTAAATGATCCACTGATGCACTGTTTAGTCTGTTTCTCCCACAGTTGAAATCTCAGAACTCTGCTCATTGTTTAAAGTCTCACATGGAAAATAATAAAACCAACTGTCATGTAAATGTTTTATCGACGGGACAATAAACTGATAACAGATCAATTGTTGCTTAAAATTTTATGCAACAAATCACATCAAACTTAGGCTTCAGGTGCAATTCATTCACTATCTGTGCTAAAATGCTGTTGCACTACAGGGACTGAGACTGAGTTATATTTAGCATCTGATCTGATGTGTTTTGATACTGTGCTGTAGAGCACTTCAGCACTAGGTCACAATCAGTACAGCGAAACAAGATGTGAAATACTGAAATAAAATGCCACTGGACGTCAGTGAAACTATTCCTCTGACATTTAAAGGGAAATGTCATTTTGGCAGCAGCTATGCACAAGTACAATTACTTTACTTTTGCATAACAAAAATGCTTCTGCAGCTAATATTGCATGCTATTTCCCAAAGAATAAAATGTGGTGAATGCATTTAGTGTTTTGCAACACTGTTTTACCAATACACAACTAATAAAAGTAGCAGCACTGACAGAGGTTTGCTCAGTCATCATAGTGGTATGTACAGTATGTTCTGTATGTGTGTTTATTACACAAGGGGCCATCTGACCTGCAGTTATATTTGCGAAGCCACCAGCTGAACTGAGTGCGACAGCCTAGACAGTAGTTCACGTCTCTCTCCATCTCCTCATCGCGCAGTTTCTGCTTAAACTCTAGGGCATCTGTCTTCTGCCAGAGAGCATCCTTCTCCCTGCAGAGAACAAAACCGGCCATATTCGTATAAGCTATAAAGAAATATATAAGAACTACATACTACAGGTGGAAGGGGGGCATGGTGGTGTAGTTGTTAGCACTGTCGCCTCACAGCAAGAGGGCTCCAAGTTCGCACCTCACTGGAAAACAAATCTAGACATTGTGTCTCTTGAAAAACAGTGGCTAGAAAACAAAGACAAAAAATAAAACCTAAAAAACAGTAAGCAGGAGTAGATTACATTAAATCTTAGGGCGTGGGAAGTATTTTTATACCTGATGAGTTGCACCAGTCTTTCCTCCAAGTTGATTTTGGTCCGGTAAAGATCATCGATTTCAGCGGCCGTCTTAAGATCGAAGCTCTGTTTGTCCATTGTGGCTCTCCGTAGATTTTCACTCAACTCCTCACAGGACTGCTGAGCCGCTGCTAGACCCTTCTCAGACCTGCACAGTAACATACACAAACTAATGTATAACCTGCCCAAAAATACATTGCCTTCTCAGGGGGACTTTGATTTTCTCCATGCAGCTTGAATTTTTTTGTTATTCTAAAAAAAAAACAAGCATTCTGAAACAGGATTAGAAACATTTTCCATGGAGCTTTAACTTGGTCCAGAATGTGTGATTATGAATACAGTATCTCACCTTGATAAATTCTCTTTCAGATGGGTTATCTCGTCATCTTTCTGCTGGATGAGATTTTCAGACTCGGCCATCTGGATGTTTCTCTCCTCAGTCTGTTGGCAATATCTCTGATTCTCTGCCTGCAATCAACACAGCAAAGCAAGACATTATTTCAGGTTCTTTGGGAATTATGCTTGTGACCATAACATTATGATTACTTCAAATGCCAATATAATACAATGTAACTGCAATTTATATGTTCATTTATCAATCCAAGACATACAAATACACATAAAGATAAACAGATATACACGTTGTTGTCAGCAGCATAGGCCACATTTAAACATGGTTTCATTTCCATACCCATGTTATTTCACTATATCAACTCCTCAAACCACATTTTTAAAAATTCCTGGGATTATAGTAGTAAAAACGTATTTGCCCAACCTTTGGAAGGTTTAGGTTTTAATGTCTAACAACACTGAACAAAAAGAAAAATACCATTCAATGTTAATGTGAAAACAGTTTTCTATAAAGTGACCTAAATTAATTACAATCCAGGACATTAACTAGTTGATTTGAAGCCAGTACTGTGGAGCTTTGGCTTTATACTTAGGGTGATTATCTTGTTGGAAAACAAGTGTAATGACCAAAACATTCAATTTTGGTCTCATCATTCATTTGGTCTCAGACCAAAGAACCTTATTCCAGCTGACTCTTTGCAGTCTCTTTAAAATCTGTACATATAATGTTGGTGAGAGCAGGAATTACCTACATATGACACAGTACCAAGCTCGTAAGTAGCAGGTTATCTTCTCACCTCTAGCTGCTCGAGTTTGTTCTTCAAGTTGACCACTTTCTCCTGCTCAGTCATCAGCTGTAATCTCATTTCCTCTAACTCTTGGTTCACACCCTGGATGAGAATATGAATACCAATTTCATCACAGTAGTGATAAAGATGGTAATGCTAATAAACATCTACAGTGCAATGCCAAAAAGTCAACATTCAGGAGAAATCTAGCTGTGGAAATCTGTGGTGGTTCTCATCCTCTACTGCAATTACAAAAAACTGGTTTTTCATACATACAATCAGCTCACAGCAGGAGGCAAACAGTAACATGGTTACGTTGGTGCATGTAAACACATAATTACGCATACTACTGTACATTTCTTCAGCTGACTTGTTTATGTCTGACCTGAAGCTGGCTGCCATGACTCATGTCTTGGCTGCTGAGCTGGAGCTGGGATGCCTGGATCTCCTCCTGGTTTATTTTCTGTCCATCTTCAGCCTCCTGCTGGGCCTCGCTCAGCTCCTTCGGCAGCTTCTGCTTGGTTGACAACAGACCCTTCTCGTTGTGGAGCTGACTGAGGAGTTGTTGGTTCTCCTGACGTAGTTGCTCCATGTAATTATTCAGCCTCTCAACTTCCAGAGCCCCTTCCTCCTCCAGCTCCTGCAGCTTTGTCGACAGACCCTCCCAGTGCAGACGAGCCTCTTCATTCTCAGCAGTTAGCATACAAACGCGCACACCGAGTTCAGCTGTCTCTGTGTTTGCAATATGGAGCGCCTCCCTGGATTCACTGTTCTCCAGACTCAAGGCATCATATTGCAGCTTCAGTTTACTGAGCTCCTCTCTGGAAGCCGTCACCTCTGCAGCCAGACTTGCTCGAGCCTGAGCCTCACCGTCTCGCTCACGGATAAGGGTGTCCACTTGCTCCCGGGAGCGAAGAATCTCATCAACATGCTGGCGGTTTAGTTCCTCCACCTGGGCCTTGAGTTGTTCTGCTAAACACTGAAGGTCCTTTCTGGAGGCCTCTGTCATCTCCTGCAGGGCCTGACCTTTCATCCTCTCCTCATTTCCTGATAGAAGCTGAGCCCTGAGCTCCACCACCTCTTCCCGGAGCATGGTTACCTCCCATAGGCTGACCTCCAGTTGGGCCTCAGTTATCGCCACTCTGGATAGAGGCTCTTTGGTTTCCACAAATGAATGATTTTCATCATGAAGTGTCTGCATTGCTTCATTGCTCTCTGCTGCTCCTTTTTCATTGTGCAGCTCTCTGGTTCTGCTCTCCAGCTCCTTTGCTTGAACCTGCAGAAGCCCACATTTAACAGGTTGTTCTCCGAATTTAGCCTCAGTTTCCTGTAGTTTTTCACATAACTCTGCTTGGCTTCTTTGGGACACTGTGAGGCTCTTGTCCAGCTTTGCGGCTTTGGCAGCGAGAGATTCCAGTTCCTCTTGAGTTGTTGGTAACTGTTTCTTTAACAATGACTGAACTTCAAGGAGCTCCCTGTTCTGATGCTCTAGTTTCTTTAATTGAGTGTCTGATACTTCCTTCTGGATGAGCAGCTTCTGGGTGACCTCCTCCAAGTGCAGGTTTTCATCTAAAAGCTTTTTTTCCCTGTCTTCTACACCCATGTTTGCAGCCTCTAACCTCCCCTTTAAGTGCTTCTCAGAAGCCCTCAAAGAAGCTAGCTCGTCTAACAAGGTAGCCCTGCTCTCTATCAGCTGTATAACATTCTCCTCACTCATATTAACTGTTTGAAGTAACTTAGTGTTTTGTTCGAAGAGATCACCGCATTGACTTTTGTAGTCCTCAAGGTTCTCAGTTTGATCACAGGAGGTGAATTCATTATGATTGAGTCTACAGTGCAGACTTTCTTTCTCAACATTTAGTTTCTCCAACTGCTCCTCTAAATGTTTTATTCTCTCTGAACTAACAACTAGTTCCTTCTCTTTGGTTTTTAGAGTTTTTCTTAAGTCCAAGATCAGACTCTCCAGTTCCTCATTCTGGCTACTACTCATGCTACGTCTCTCTTCCTGCAGTCTTTTCCTCAACTCCTCTGCCTGTCGTTCTCTGCACTCCAGTGATGCTTGTAGATCTTGTAACTGGGCTCTCAGGTTCCCTGTTTCCTCCTCCTTCAAACTCAAAGCCCCCTGAATTTGACCAACTACCCCTTGGAGCTCCTCCAACCGTTTGAGTGCCTCCCTCTGTTCAGCATGGGCTCCAGCTTTTACTTGAGCTAGCTTCTCCTCACTGTTTCTCAAATCTCCTTCCCTTTGTTTAAGTTCCTGTGATAAGCGATCAGAGTGCACGGCCCTATCATCAGCCTCTCTCTTTGCCTCCAATCTCTCCTCCTCTAACACCTTGAGTTTATCCAGGAGCTCCTGGATCTTCCAGGCTGAGCCATAGTAGCTGATGGCTTGTTGTCCCTTTTCTTCAAGTGCCTCATCCAACTTAGAGAGAAGCTCTGTATTTCTGTTCTCAGCAGCTGTCAGTCTGTCTTGAACTTCACTGCTTATTGCTTCCCTACAGATCTGAAGGTGATTTACTCTGTCTTGATTGTCTGCTTCTTGGTTACTTTGGGCTTCTGTGAATTCCGAGTGTCCAGAAGACTTCTGAGCTGCTAGCTGGCTTTGAAGGTCTTTAACTATGCCTTTCAGCTCAATAGCCTCTTTGTCTAACTCCTGAACCCGTAGAAGAAGTTCCTGCTGTCTGAGCTCAGACTGATCAAGCTCAATGCGGAGAGTCTCTGTGACACTGCAAGAAGAAGGTTCCCCCAGTTCTCCCACTTCATCAAGGAGAGTGTGACTCAAGTCTGAGACTGGGAGAAACTCTTGTGCCTAGTCAGTGCATAAAAAAAGAGCTCTTGTCAAATGCTTTAAACTTCAAGCAGTCATATTTATGTAACACTTTGTGTAAAAGTATGTACAGTTGTATACAAAAAGTTGACCACTCCTGGGTAAATTTTATATTTTGCAAATTTTTTTAGAGGGGAAAAAACTAAGACATTTAAAAAATAAGCTTTTCTTCAAAAGTTAATGGACGGTTACTTTTTATGACATGAACTTTAAAAACCAGAAAATTTATCAGCTCTGGAAATGTCATCAGCTAACAGTGGTGTGAACAGTACATTAGCATTTCAAGAAAGGCAACCTTTTAAAAAAATATATTTTTATAACTTGCAGGGATTATATTTACCTCTTTTTAGTTCATAAACCACCAAAATGTGTCATTTGTCAGGAGCTGGCCAAGACCTTTGCATATAACTGTATTAGTATTGCATGTACCTGTGACTGTGAATAGCTGCTAACCAGACTGTTGACGCTGGAGCAGCGACTGGGAGGCTTCCACTGGAAAGCTGGTGGGGCTGTGCCTAATGTTCGCCTTTAACACAATGAGATACTAAATATTAAGGCCATTTAACACCTGATGATTGGGTAACACAAACAAGAAATTCAAATCAACAATGTTAACACAAAAGAGGAATTTTAATTCACAGGATTGAGCATTTACACAAGGTAGCCCTATGGTAACACTTTATCGTACTTGTCCCCTAATTTCTTAACGTTTTCCAAAGACATTTCCTGGAAAGGACTATGTAATTTGGTACCTTTTATATGCAAACCAAAAACAATGTTTCAACAATACAACTTCTAAGAACAGGAATTTAATACTGTACTACTGCACAAAACCAACTCTGACATTTCTGACTGTTACTTATAAAAGAAAGTTATGCTGCCACTTACAGAAGTGACATGTACCAACTGAACATGTCTCAATTTTTTCTCTTAACTTTCTCAATATTTCCATGCCACAACTACTTCTCAGTTTTTCCTGATACAGTTTTAGAAAGCTATAGAACCCAAAATGAAACAATACCAATACTGTCACATGGCTGTGTTTTGTCACGAAAACAGCTGTAAAGTTCCTATGCGCTTGTTGGAAATGTTCAGGTGTCTTTAGATTAGATTTTTTTCTAAGAGTTTAAAAAAAACATCAAAGGACTATATTAAAAGAATATGATAAACAACTTAAAACAATATACTGTATATTACTGATCTAATTGTTACTCGGACTTTACAATAGTGTCACAGTAAGACTATTTCTGGAAGCTTCTCAAATGACAGCTAGAAATATGTTTTAGGTATGTTGTCAAATAGCATGTTAAGTATGTCTTCTCTGGTACAGTTACAAAACTGTCAGGCATCCCATTCAGTCGCAGTCAATGTGAAAACCACAGTGCGAGTCTTTCTGTGATTGTTACTCATGAGAAAAGCCAAGCAAAACTAATATTTGCATACAAGCACTTACTAAAAAGAAACTGCAAAGAATAGAGACAACATCATAAACACTGTATCGGTAGAGTCCGATGTAATCCTATAAAACAGCCCTCACAACAAAACTGCATTGTGAATTAATCTTTACTTCTGTTTATAATGTGTATGACTGGTGCTGATTCAACTCTTTTCAGCTAATTTTTCAAACCTCAGTTTGTGTTGTTGTAGGTTGTTGCAATATATTATTACAATAATGTGACTCAATACATCAACCACACAAAATTATGCTTTTAAAAATACACAGTGTCCATTGCTTGTCTAGTGACTCCCAACTGAGGAAAAGGAAGTGAAGTTTTAGCAAAGGTGTTGACATTAGGAACAGTCATCAACGCTCACACCCTGTTGACAAGCACACACTTTCGCACATATTTACTTTACACACAGCCAAGCAAGATATTCTTCAGACATCTTAACCATAATTTTTAAACTAGCTGCACTAAACTGGCTAATATTTCAAGCTGCTGAATTGAAAAATGTACACAGATAATTTTAAGTGCTGGTTACCTTGCAAAGGCCGGCCAATCTGCATCGAGGTCATAACCTCTGGCTGCCACATCAAACTGGATCTGGTTGAGCTCATAAAGATGACAGATTATATCAGCAGTGAGTTGTGACTTGAGGAAGGGACTCCGAGCATAGTACCAGTCACTGTATGGAAAGAATACAAATAAAACAAAAAAAAAACATAAAACACTATACCATAAAATAAACACAAATATTTTATTGGACATAAAATAATGTTTATATAGTTTATTAAGCAATGTGTTTTAAGTTCACACTGTGCTGTTGATTGTTATTAGATATTGCAAAATACAGACAATAAGTGACAATCCTGGTTAAATAAAAGTCAAATACAGCTCAAGATGGACATTTGTTTTGATGTAAGACAAAGGAAGTAGGACATGTAGGTGTCTGTGACTTGTCTATGTGTTTTTTTTTGTGTAAAATGAGAAATAAGACATAAATGAGGAAGTGAGAGTCATCCTTCCTTGTAAGAGTGACACTACAGTACCACCAAGTTGCAGAAACGGCACTTCTAGTAAACTTCAAGAGAACATGCATGGTGAAATGTTTGTGTGTGCACGTCTGTCTCCTCTAACCTCGTGACTTTCTCATTTAAAAGACACTGCTGCAGTGTGTCTGCGAGACGTTGGTGAACCAGTGAGTAGCGAATGAAGGCCCTTCCTTTTCCCAGCGATGTCTTCAACTGAGGACACAAAAATACACACACAGGCATTACCTCATTTTCATATGGTCTCACCTCAGTAGCTACTAGAGGTCCTCTTACAGACTGCAGTGACACATGGGTCAGACTCTTTACTGTGAATGTAACAACAGATTCACTTACAAGAGAGTAATAAACCTGTGGTGTTAAATATGCAGCTACAGATTATATTGATTTATTGGCCCAATATGTACAGTAATTAATCAGTTAAATCCATAATACAGTATGTCAGAAAATAGCAAAAACTGTTGTGACATCTTCAAATACTGACCAACAGTAACAGATAAAAGCAGCATAGAAAATCCTCATATTGGAAAAGCTAGAACCAGGAAACGGCTGCAATAAATCAAACAAAATCAAAATAGTTTATTTTTCTGTCAATTGATCAAGGACTTTGTTAAAATTTGTCTTTGCACATATCTTTATTTTATGCCTATGCTTAAGGATCATCACTGAATAGACACTATCTAACCCATACTCTCAAATACATTGACAGATGGAGGGATTTAAATAAGACAATAGACTCACAGATCTGAAGACACCAGCCGCACACTCCCTTATGTCTGTGACTGACCAACAAGATGAGTAAAAGAAGAGTAAAAGTAATGGATCAGAGGTTTCCAACAAGTAAACAGCAGTCAGCTGTTACTGACTGAACTCTCTGACATGTGAAGAAAAAAAAAACAAAAACACAGACCCATGTAAAACTATGCCAGTGAAAACACTTCCATAAACATAAAACGAGACATGGGTCGTCTACGTAGGACTTCATCATTAATTAGCCCTCTCATGCTACAGCCAGACATAACCAGGTTTTTTCTACAGAATGAAACAAAGCTAAATCAATCAGCTGAAATATTTAATCGATTTATTGTTTCAATTTTAGAGCAGCAATGTCAAACATATGCTGGTTCCAACTTCTCTAATGTGAAGATTTGATGCCGTACCTTGTCATATATGACAGTAACCTGGATAACATTTGGTTTAAGACTGTTTTTCTGACAAAACAAGCAATCTGACAACATTACCTTAGGCTTGAAGAAATTATAATGAACACATTCATCAATGAACTGAGATAACTGGCAAATTAATCTAAATGCCCTACAGTGCACCACCATAATAGACTATTATGGTATTTTCCACTTCCAATGTAGAGTGCTGGGTTTGTATTCTCAAGCAATTGTAGCATACAACAACAAAAATATCAGTAAAACAGCTTTTTAAAGTGGTGTGACACCAAACTCTCATTTCTGTTTTAAAAAGACCCCTGAATAGATAAAACGTCAGATTATTAGTACTTTTCAGAAAGAAGGGCTAAAACAATTAGTTGGCAAAGACAACTAATTTGACAATACATTAAGTATTGGTCATTTTTCACACTAGTCCCTGCTTTTCAAATGCAACAATATTCAGCTTTTATTTTTCACATTTGATAGTAAACTGACTACCTTTTGGTTTTGGACTGTTGGGCAGAAAAAAGACATTTGAAGCTGTCACTATGGGTTCTGAGAAATAATAAAAGACATATCACTTAACTGCAAAAGTAATCACCAGATGAAATAAAAATGAAAGTAACCATCAGTTGTGGCCCTTCATTGCCACATTATGCCAATGTGGCACTCTTTATCAACAGACACAGGGTGTTGAATTTGTACTCACACAAAACTGATCACATATGTTGGTAATACACTTTGTTTGATCATCCCTTTTAATTGACAATAGACATATCATACTCCCATATCACCAAAAAGATTCACATCAGATCATTAGTCAGAAAAAAGGCTAAAATTTAGGTAAATGATTCAGGGCTAAAGACTTTTCAAGCAAAAAAGTCAGTCACACAGAATTTTAAACAACCTACTGTACAAATGAAATGTAGTATAAACTATGTGTAGTTCAACTACAGATAGTTCAGTATGATGCTCTCACCTGTGAATTCCTGGGACAGAAGTGGAGGAAGAAAGAGTACAGGTGCAAGCCAGCAAGTGAATTAGCAGCTCTGGGTTTATATACTTGACTGCCCAGAGGATTAGTTACATGGTTACACAGTTGCCTTAGGGTTTTTAGTGTGTGCGTGCATGTGTGTGTGCATATGCTGCATGTGATGGTAGGGCTGATGCACTAAGATGATTGTGTGTATGCCGCAAATTAATATTACCTCAGGGATGGACTTAACAAAACGGATACCATCATTAGCTCCCTTCATATTATTCAGGCAGTCGCAGAAGTAATCCCAGTAGTCTTTCCTCTGGCCAAGAAAGGTTGTCTTCTCTTTCTGGTCAAACTACAGTAAGAAACACACACCACCTCAATATCTGCAGTGCTGTGGATTGGGTATTACATCTGTCTGACACTAATGTGTGTAAAGTATTTGTGATTCTGTTTCAGTTTGAAACTTATATACTTCCTGAGCACTTACCTGTAGCAGGTACTCTAGTTTATAGAAAAACTTGCGGAGGCTGGCGCTGTCATCGGTGATGGGTTCACCACACTCCGTGTGTTCCATACTCAACTCCGACACAGCATCTAAACAGGAAAGTAGCACCATTAATTACACATAAACACGCAGATACCAACTTATGTTCTTGTGTGCACATACAGCATAAGGCAAAAATAACTAAATCCATATTAAATATATATATCTATATATACATTTTTATCAATAATATTTTTGCTTACAATTATTTTTATTCGCATTTGCTGTGCAACATTTCTATTATCAATCAGCAATAAACATTTCTTTATGTACTACTGTTTTATCAATTTTTTTTCTTACAATTATTTTTATTCGCATTTGCTGTGCAACATTTCTATTATCAATCAGCAATAAACATTTCTTTATGTACTACTGAACTTTTCCTTAACTATAATTGAAATGTTTATTGTTTGAACAAAAACACTGAATAATTTTACCATCTCATGGCTTGATATCTTTTTTAAAATTATTTATTTTTCTGCAGCAATGATTTAAGTTTTTGGATGTTGTACCTTTCTCCTTCACTTATGTTCACAAGTGTGCATATTTCTATTGGCCACACAGTACACACACAGCAACATATTGTAAGATACATGCTGTTATGTTGTTTACTGTAGGTGTGGACAGCTTGTTTACCATGCAGATCTCTGATTATCCTCTGCAGTTGATTATCTCCAACTGAGGAAGAGGCCATTGTGGGGAAAAGGGCACGGGAGTCAGGAAATTCTGCATGTAGGGTTAAAAATAGTTATTCCCATTATAGTGTCCCATCATTTTCCATGATGCATAAGTGACAGAATAACGTGACATACAAGAACTTCCTCATTTCCTTGAACTGCCCGAAATAAATTACAGCATGTGACTGTAAAAATATGCCACAGCTGCTATCGGTTGGAGGTAAATTTACCTCATAAATAGCATTCTCCTAAATGAATTCCTCAACTGCTAGTCAATTTCATAAAGTGCAAAGGTAAATAACCTGCAAAAAGAGTCAGTTAGCTAGCTAAGAAAAGTTAGCAAAATTTGCCTAGAGAGGAGGCGCAACATTTACATAACAGCGACAGGTGAAAGCCTATCACTGACAGTGAGGTTATCGGATCACTGACACAATCTACGTGGGGCTATTACAAACCAGAACAATTTCACAATATATCACTCTGAAACAGCTTTACAGCAGAAACCGCAAACATCGATGTGACGTGACTGTGAAAGTTAATACTGTACGACGCGCACCTGCTCTCAGCTTTTCATTTCCTGGTCTTATTTCACGTTAACTTGTGTTAAAAACCCGTCGTGGTTTGGTTGTAAATACAGCAAAATATCTCACTAATGATTAAATTGTCTAATTTTAAACGTACCTAATGTTTGAAAGTATCCAGTGTCCAGTTTGTTGGTGATACAACAGAAAAATGCTCTCTTTGGGGGCGGGCATTGTGAATGATTGACAGGGGTGACAGGTTGCTGCCCTAGTTTGGTTGAGGGACAAATAGTAAGTAAACAGAGACGCGTTAAATACAATGGAAGAACATCTAGGCTACAAAAATTAGGCTGTGACAAATGTGACATATTGAATTTGACCTTTTTAAAAAATACTTTATGCAAATCCAAAATCATCTGTCTGTAGTGTATGCAGAGTATATAGTATATTGTTTATTCTCTTTTCTCTATATGTTTTTAAGTGTTTTTAATTATTAGATTATTTGTGGTGTTTTAAATTTCAGTAAATACTTATAACCAGAACAAAACAATTATGATATAAAATAATAATAATTATAACTCAAAAATTGGTTAATTGTGTAAAACCAATAAGAGAGAGAGAGAAAGACCAGCCAACATTAAATAAACAAACAAACAAAACAAAACAATTTTGCAAGCCAGAATCGATCCTGAAAAAAAAACATTGCCTTTGCTTGTTCAAAACAAAAAAATGTGAAGATTTATAGATATATACTGCTATATACATATACATATACTGCAGGGAACACAACATAAGACATCCTAGATCTGAATGAATGAAATATTCTTATTAAATACCTTGTTCATTACATAGGTGAATGTCTTATTTTTCCTTGTGTTCCCTTTATTTTTTTGAGCAGTGTATATTGAGTGTTACCCCTGCCACAGCCAGCTGACAGTCAAGCAAAATACAAATGAAATATAAAGCAGATAAATAAGTAACACAAAATCTAAGGCACTTTAAGCAGCAAATGCAGCAATATAATAAAAATATATAAGAATATAATAAGAGAATGTATGCTGCATGGGAGCAGCATGTGCAACAGTCAACAGTCAATGTGCAATTATGCATGTGCAAAAGTACAGGTCAACAGTATATGACGTATTTCCTGGTAATAAACTCCTCAGCTGTTTAGGAGTCTGATGGCAGAGGGAAAGAAAGAGTTTTTCATTCTGGAGCTCCTACACTTCCCACTTCTGAACCTCCGGCCAGAGGGTAAGGAGGCGAACAGTCTGTGCTGGGGGTGGGTGGGATCTGTGAGGATGGAGGCAGCTTTCCTACACACCCTGCGGTGGTAAATACTCTGGAGAGAGGGCAGTGGAGTCCTAGTGATCTTCTCCACAGTCTTTACCACTCTCTGCAGGCGCTTGCGGGCCATAGCAGTAGTGCTGCCATACCAGACAGTGATGCAGCTGGTCAGGATGCTCTCAATGATGCAGCTGTAGAAGTTGCTGAGGATCCTCGGGGACATGCCAA